TAGATAGATAGATAGATAGACAGACGATGATGGATGGATGGATGGATGGATGGATGGATGGATGGATGGACGGACAGACAGATAGAGAGAGAGAGACGAGAGAGAGAGAGAGAGAGAGAGACAGAGAGAGAAATATTCTAAAATATCTAAGAAGGGTTCAAATCAAACCTACAGCATAAAGTGTGAGATTCTGTGGAGTACTTGCCTGTAGACAGAGAGATGGAACCAAATTGATCTGATAATAGCATTTTAAGATAAAACAAATCAGAATGACCAGGCTGTTTAATGAAAAGTGGAAATAATAACTCTTTGCGTGGCTCCTGCTTGGAGAGGACAGTAGAGAAGAACATGTTCCAATGAACGACTGCTAGTGACTTATCGAGGGCTTTTCATTTTTATGTTGATGTGTCCAGATCTCCCAATTCTTTAATAACCCGTGGGAAAATTCCAGCAGCATTGAGTCAGGGGAACAATATCATTTGCTCATTTGCTCAAAATCGCATGAGTTTGTCTCGGGGAAAGAAAAACAGTAGTGGTTCTCCTTGAAGCCTCCTCTGAACCAAAGCCTTGTTCTACAGGGGCTTTTCCGGATCTATCCTCTGCCAGAAGATCCCAGAATTCTACCTCCGCCACGTCAGTTCCAGGAGCTTCCTGCCAATACTTCCCAGGACTGTCTGGTTCGCCTTTATATCATCCGAGCTTTTAATCTCCAGCCAAAAGACCGCAATGGATTGGTAAACATCTTTTCTTCACTATTTTTCTGCAGTACTAAAAAGTTTTCTTCCAGAGATACCACTTGGTAGAGATATTCAAGGTAAAATTCGGTCTAGTGGTGAAGGCACCAGGCTAGAAAGCAGGAGATTGACTATAAGTTCAAGTACCTCCTCAACCATGAAAACCAGCTGGGTGATTTTGGGCCAATCACCAAGAGATGGTGAGTTCTAGTTCCGCCTTATGCATGAAAATCAGCTGAGTGATTTTGGGCCAATCACTAAGAGACAGTGAGTTCTAGTTCCGCTTTATGCATGAAAATCAACTGGGTGATTTTGGGCCAATCACCAAGAGATGGTGAGTTCTAGTTCCACCTTATCCATGAAAGCAGCCTGGGTGACTTTGGGCCAATCACCAGGAGAAGGTGAGTTCTAGTTCCACCTTAGGCATGAAAACCAGGTGGGTAATTTTGGACCAATCACCAAGAGATGGTGAGTTCTAGTTTCACCTTAGGCATGAAAGCAACCTGGGTGACTTTAGACCAATCACCAGGAGAAGGTGAGTTCTAGTTCCATCTTATGCATGAAAAACTGCTGGGTGATTTTGGGCCAATCACCAAGAGACGGTGAGTTCTAGTTCCACCTTAGGCATGAAAGCCAACTGGGTGACTTTGGGCCAATTACCAGGAGAAGGTGAGTTCTAGTCCCTCCTTAGGCATGAAAGCCAACTGGGTGACTTTGGGCCAATCACTAAGAGACATTGAGTTCTAGTCCCGTCTTAGTCAGCTGGGTGACTTTGGGCTAGTCATTCTATCTCTCTCTGTCTCAGCCAAACCCACCTCACAGAATTGTTGTTGTGGGGAAAAATAGGAGGAGGAGGAAGGCGTGTTGGATACGTTCGCTGCCTTGAGTTATTTGTAAATAACTTTGCACCCCTGTACAGTGCGACCCCTACGTCAAGATCAAGCTAGGGAAAGAAAGGATGGCTGACCGAGAAGACTATATACCCAACACCCTGGATCCTGTGTTTGGAAGGTCAGTCTAGCAAATTGGATCTGATTGCTTCGTTGCTCGGCTGACCAGCGTTAAGCCATGTGGGTAACCATAGTTTGGGACTGCAGAATATGCTGGATACTACTCTTCCGTAAGGAGCAGATTGCCATGTTCCTCTCAAACCTGGTTAACTAATTTGTGGTGATAGTGAGAGAGAGGGAGAGAGAGGGCGAGAGGGAGGGAGAGAGAGAGAGATGATGAATCTTATATGATAAATGATAGATAGATAGATAGATAGATAGATAGATAGATAGATAGATAGATAGATAGATAGATAGATAGATAGATAGATAGATGATGGATCATATTAGATAGATAGATAGATAGATAGATAGATAGATAGATAGATAGATAGATAGATAGATAGATAGATAGATAGATAGATATAGATAGATAGATAGACAGACAGACAGACAGACAGACAGACAGACAGACAGACAGACAGACAGACAGATAGATAGATGATGGATCGTATTAGATAGATAGATAGATAGATAGATAGATAGATAGATAGATAGATAGATAGATAGATAGATAGATAGATAGATAGATGATGGATCATATTAGATAGATAGATAGATAGATAGATAGATAGATAGATAGATAGATAGATAGATAGATAGATAGATAGATAGATAGATAGATAGATAGACAGATAAAATATCTATCTAAATTAGATATCAGCTGGGTTTTTTTGTTATGTCCAGTGCAACCTCTTTTTTCATATCATTCTTGTAGCTTGACATTTTTAAATCCACTTAAGATCAATCCTGTTAGATATCACTGTGCTAAACAACTAATTCCCACAACACTGTCAAACTATTTACTAAACTCAATTACTATTATTCTTCTCATCCTTCCTATTACCTATCTCCTTCTACTTATGACTATAACCTTGTTGCTTGCATCTTTTACGATTATATTGTTTTATTTAGTTTCCTAGAATGATTTTCATTGCTTTAGTATTGTATGACTATCACTAAGTGTTGTATCTTATGATTCATGATGAATGTATTTTATGTACACTGAGAGCTTATGCACCGAAGACAAATTCCTTGTGTGTCCAATCACACTTGGCCAATAAAGAATTCTATTCTATTCTATTCTATTCTATTCTATTCTATTCTATTCTATTCTATTCTATTCTATTCTATTCTATTCTATTCTATTCCATTCCATTCCATTCCATTCCATTCCATTCCATTCCATATTTATTATTCTATTCTATTCTATTCTATTCTATTCTATTCTATTCTATTCTATTCTATTCTATTCTATTCTATTCTATTCCATTCCATTCCATTCCATTCCATATTTATTATTCTATTCTATTCTATTCTATTCTATTCTATTCTATTCTATTCTATTCTATTCTATTCTCTATTCCTATTCTATTCTATTCTATTCTGTTCTGTTCTGTTCTATTCTATTCTATTCTATTCTATTCTATTCTATTCTATTCTATATTACTCATTCTTCCATAACACCTTTTAAACAGAGTCTATCTATGGGGCAGATATTCTTAACTTCTGGGTCCATGGTTCAAAATATCCTTTCAATATGTCTAACGTTAAAATATTTTGCTTCCTTCTGTCATTCTAAGTCAGGTTTTAGTGTCATTCTCCTTTAATTGTTAAAAATTAAAATCAGCAAAGACCCACTTATACAAGAGTGCTAAGTTTCTGCTTTCGTGAACAAGGCATTCAAAGGTTTGGCCCAGCCTTCTCTAGCAAGGCATCATTTAAGACTGTTGGGGTCACAGCTCCCAAAATTTCTAGGAGACTATTCTTGCAATGAATTTGGCGAGTGAAGATACCGGAATGGATAGGAATGAGACCCTTATATCTTCTTCTTCTTCTTTTTGGTGGTCTCTCAAGAACATATGAACTCACATGTACCATCCCATTAGAAAAGGACCTGAAGATCTCAATATTTGATTTTGACCTCTTTTCATCTGATGACATAGTTGGGGACACCACCATAGACTTGGAGGACCGACTCATGTCTCATTACGGGGCCAACTGTGGGCTGCCACAGACTTACTGTGTGTAAGTACTAAGGCTATGCATGAGTAATTCCATCTTTCTCACCCTAGCAGCTTCCAGATGTTTGGGGAGTCATCTCCCAGAAATTCCCAGGAACATCTCCCCAACTTTAGAAGTTCAGGTTGTTTCCATCTACTACATGCAGGAACTGGAAATGTCTATCTAACAAAAAGGACTAGGGGTAGCATGATGGCAGTATTCCAATATTTGAGGGGCTGCCACGGAGATGAGGGGGTCAACCTATTCTCCAAAACACCGGAGGGAGAGAGAGAAGAAGTTACAGATAGAAACTTAACAGAGAGAGATCCAACTAGAATTAAGGAGAAATTTCCAGAATGTCAGGGTTCCAACGGATACCCTAATTAAAACATGAGCCTTGAGCCAAACTTCAAAAGAAATCCAGTTATTTATTAGGAGCTTCATTTCGGCATGTTCCAAGTGAAGACAACTCTGACCCCATGTTTTATGGCCCAATCTTGACCCTCTTTCTCCCTCTCCCCCCCCAGGGTGTGTCATCAGTCACATTCACCAGTGGAGCAATTTTGCGGGTTGTAGAGATCACTCCCTTTCCGGCTGCTGTGGGTAACCCTGGGAGACAGCCTTGTGAGAGATATGTCTGGAATGTGCTTTTGTTTTTGGTTGCTGTGTTGCTTTGCTAGTTTCTCATCCCCCTTGCCTATGGCAACTCGAGAGCAGGGCGGGGATGATTTGCGAGTTGACACAGAGTGTGAGAACAATCAATGGAGAACAAGCAATGGCTTGCTTCCAGAAGTTGTGAATGCTCCATCACTGGAGGTTTTTAAGAAGAGATTGGACAGCTATTTATCTGGAAGGGAATAGGGCCTCCTGCTTGAGCAGTGGGTAGGACAGTAGACCTCCAGGGTCCCTTGCAATTTGGTTATCCTGTACTGAAGTGATAGCTTCAAGAAAAAGCATAGTCTTTCTGAAAATGCTCTCTACAAACATTGTTTGATCCCTTCTCTCTCTTGCAGAGCTGGCCCCACACAGTGGAGAGATCAGCTTCTTCCAAGTGAACTCTTGGAAAATCATACTCAGGCCAAAAACTTGCCTCAGACAGATATAAGTGAAGATGGTAGTAAAGCTGTTTTCATGGGTAGAACTTATCTGCTCTCTGACTTTGGTAAGTTTCCATGCAACTTTCAGTACTGTACTGTTCGGGCAGTGTGTCTCAACCTTGGCAGCTTTGTATGGACTTCAACTCCCAGAATTCCCATTCTGGCTGGGGAATTCTGGGAGTTGAAATGTGCATAGCTGAAATGATGTGTTTCCTTGTGGTCACCAAAAATGTACTTGATTGAAGGTGTTGTTACCTTGAGACCGTGTCCCATTTTATTCATTTGTATCATGCCTATTATTTTTACAAGTACATCAAGGCAGTGAACATATCCAACATGGCTTGTTCTTCCTATGTTCCCCATAATAACAACCCTGTGATGTGGGTTGGGCTGAGAGAGAGGGACTGGTCCAAAATTACTCAGCTGGCTTCCATACTCAAGGCAGGACTAGAACTCATCATCTCCCGAATCTGAAAGTTTCCAGGTTTTCCCCACCCAAAGGAAAGTTCAAGTCCCTGCCCAACATCCACATGTCCATCACATGGTCCAATCCAAGCACCATCCCAACTGGAGATGCCTCCCAGTTCCAACCTTCCAGGTGCAGGGCAAGATGTCCTTGACTCCCTGAGAAAAGAATGTTATTATGACTACATATCAACCATGCTCCATACAATTTTGTTGTTGTTGTTAGTTGTAAAGTCATGTCCGACCCATTGCGACCCCATGGACAATGTTCCTCCAGGCCTTCCTGTCCTTTACCATCCCCCGGAGTCCATTTAAGCTCACGCCGAACTGCTTCATTGACTCCATCCAGCCACCTCGTTCTCTGCCGTCCCCTTCTTCTTTTGCCCTCCATCGTTCCCAGCATTAGGCTTTTCTCCAGGGAGTCCTTCCTTCTCATTAGGTGGCCAAAATATTTGAATTTCATTTTCAGGATCTGGCCTTCTCCAAAGAGCAGTCAGAATTGATCTCCTCTAGGGTTAGGGGTTAGGGTCAGTCTCCTCTAGGACTGACCGGCTCCATACAATCCCCCCTCCCAATTTCCCACAGTAATAAACGTGGCAGGCCTGAAGGCCCAATGCAAAAGATGGCTTCCAGCCTGACAAAAAGAAAAGGAACAAACTACATTTTGGAACTTCTTACTTTCACTCAAACCCACCTTCGATATTTTCAGTTTAGATTCTTCCTCTTACCCCCCACTTTTAAAACTATAGTAACAAATGTCTTGCGTACTCAAAGCTTCGGGGTTGAGTTTGATGGGATTCCGTCTGATGTTTCCTCCTTTCAGAGATCAACATACCTTCACATGGACACCTGGGACCTGCCAAAGAACGTATGGCCCTCCACCTTCTCCGGACATGCGGTTTGGTCTCTGAACACGTGAAACTCGCACCTTGTATGATTCAGCTCTACCTGGAATTGACCAAGTAAACCTCAATCTCAGTTTTTCACGCTATACTTGTTAGCTGCTAGAAAGAAGAATCAGGCAGTCCAGCAAATCTATCGTTGTGGATATTGTCTTATAAATCCTGTACCTCTCTCCTATCCAGGGTAAACTGCAGATGTGGGTGGACATCTTCCCACTCTACCTGGGTGATCCAGGACCTCCTTTTGATATCACCCCACGGAAGCCCAGAAAGTAGGTGCTGCGAATTTGTGTAAAGTCGGTTTAGATGACTAAACTAAACGTCAGCTGCCACTTCACGCTTGTTTGTGCTTCGGTGATATATGGTGGAGAAGGGGGACGAAGGGGGTGTATAATTGGGAAATCAAAAGTAGGTGCTCTGCCATCTTGAGAAGCTGCTTCAAGGTCACCCAGTTGGAAGAAGGAGGGAGCAGCATACCTGTTGTGGCCCGTCAGCGGCCTGTGCAGATTGTAGCTGATTCTGACAACAAGGAGGCTGGTGTGGTGCTGTGCCAGCAGACTATGCAGCTGGCACTCGAGTCAGACAACGGGGAGGCTGGAGAAGATGCTGGTCTTTTAAGCCTTATGGGAGGGGCCAATAATCTCCTGACCTTACTCCCGAGTCGTCCTCTCTACTTTGGCTACTCCTGCCTTCTGGCAGCTCTTCTCATACATGCACTAGGAACAGGCTCCTCCTGTTCCTCTGCCTCTCTACTGTCAGCCTCTGGAGGCTCCGGAGTCCCTACATCACTCCCCGATGGCTCTGGCCCCATCTCTGCCTCTGATGCAGAGCCCTCATCCGGGCCTTTCCCAGCCTCCAGGACTGGCCCATGTTCTTCCTCAGCCTCATCGCTGTCCAACTCCGCTGCCAGCTCCACAGGCTGCTGATGGACCACAACATTTCACTTCTCATTCAAGAAGCTTCTTCAGCTCTGTCTGGATGGTGGGGAATGGAAGGATAAACCTCCAAGTGGCCTCAACGACCCTCTAAAAGGATGCAAATGACCAGCTCTCTGCAAGCAATATAAATTCTTCCGTTCCCCACCATCCTGTCAGAGCTGAAGAAGCTTCTTGGATGAGAAGCAAAATGTCTTCAAAGAAAAACCAGAAAGTCCAGTTGCCTCCTGAAAAAGCACCTTTGGGATAACCATGACCTGGATGACTGAACATCTCTACAGACTTTTAGCCAACTCTATGCTCAAGGGTTGCCCAAGTGTAGCTTCATGGAAGCTTCTTCCTGCCCCCCATCCCCGCATCCAAGAGTCAGAGTGGGGTAGTGGTGGCCTCGTTGAGCTAGGAATGGGAAGATCCATTCAAGTTCACTCTCAACCATTGGAAAGTCTTTGCTCTTCGTTCTAGATACGAACTCCCGCTGCATAATTTGGAACACAAAAGATGTGGATCTAGAAGATACCAATATCTTTGGAGACAAGATGAGTGACATCTACGTGAAAGGGTATGACATAAGTAATCTGGATGGGGAATCCCAGATTCTCAAACAATTATAAGGAATTCATTTCCCCATTCTTAATAGTATATGGTTATTTTTTCTTCCAAGAGGGATGCAGTGGCTCAGTGGCTAGGACGCTGAGCTTGTCGATCGAAAGGTCGGCAGTTCATCGGTTCGAATCCCTAGTGCCGCGTAACGGGGTGAGCTCCCGTTACTTGTCCCAGCTTCTGCCAACCTAGCAGTTCGAAGACACGTAAAAAATGCAAGTAGAAAAATAGGGACCACCTTTGGTGGGAAGGGAACAGCGTTCCGTGCGCCTTTGGCATTGAGTCATGCCGGCCACATGACCATGGAGACATCTTCGGACAGCGCTGGCTCTTTGCCTTTGAAACGGAGATGAACACCACTCTCTAGAGTCAGGAACGACTAGCACAGATGTGCGAGGGGAACCTTTACCTTTACCTTTATTTTTTCTTCCAGAGAAAGAAAGCGGTTGCACAATATTCAAAAATAGTAACATAATACAGGGAGAGTTTCTTAATTTCTTCTGAAACTAAAGGAGACATAACTCTTCCCATCTCTTCAGCATCTGAGCTGGGAGAAGAGACACAGAGAAAGCTCATGTTGATCCATCACTCTGTCTGTCCCTCTCCTTTTTTCTGATCTTATCTTTCCTTCGGCAAAGACCTCGATCCTGCTTGATCCTCTTCTTTGCATCCTTTGAGTCAGGGGTGAGATTCAAACATTTTAGCAACCAGTTCTCTGCCCAGTAGCTGGTTGGGCATGGCCATGGTGGGCGTGGCCTACTTGGCCTCCTGCACCACAGCGGGGGGGCATTTTCACCCTCCCCAGGCTCCGTAGGCTTTTCTCAAGCGTCCGGGAGGGTGAAAACAGCCTCCCCTGGGCTCCGGAGACCCTCTGGAGGCTGGAAACGGGCCCATTTCCAGACTTCCGGGAGGCCTGTTTTTCGCCTTCCCAGAGCCTCCGTGTGGGCCCCGCACTTACCTGGCATCCAAAATGGGCCGTATGGAGACTCCTAGGAGGGGCAGGCAGGATAGGAGGGGCTAGCCAGTCCTTGCAACTACCAGTTCAGTGAAACAGATGTAAGATTAGCATCCGGTTCATGCGAACCGGCTGAATCCCACCCCTGCCTTGAGTGCCATTCCTGGATTCCTACTTCTACTCCTCTTGCCTTGTTCATCGCACAACCCAAAACCATCACTTCTCCTGTGAGAAATGGAGAATCAAACCGGTCATTGACGGGAGCGCCCTTTCTACCACCATCAAGGTCCTTTCACGCGTTTCCACACAATACATGCCAACAGAGAATCCATGGACATTGCCGCTTTTCATTTCTTGTCTACACCTGTTGGCCAGCACTCCAACCCAATTACATAACGCACCCTTCATGAAATCCGTCCCCACTTTTGAGTTGACTAAAAATGTTTCTGTCCTTCTCCTTTACTTTGGTCCCAGATGGCTGGATGGCCAGGAGGAAGACAAGCAAAGAACTGATGTCCATTATAGGTCCTTGGCAGGAGAAGGCAACTTCAACTGGCGATTCATATTCACGCTGGATTATTTACCCATGGAGCAAGTTTGTGTCCTCACTAAGAAGGTAGGGTATAAGCTAGCTTTCAGTTCCCTTTCTTTCCCCCCCCTCTTCCTTCCTCCCTCTCCCTCCCCTCCTCTCCCTCTCTCCTCCTTTCTCCCTCCCTTTTTTCTCTCCCTCCCCACTCTCCTTCCTTTCTCTCCCTCTCTTTCTCTATGCCTCTCTCTTCTTTCCCCTCTCCCCTCTCCTCCCTCCCTCTCCCTCTCTTTCTCCCTCCCTCTCTCCTCCTTTCCCTCTCTCTCTGCCTCTCTCTCCCCCTCCCCCTCTCTCTTTCCCTCTCTTTCCCTCTCTCTCTCCCACTCCCCTCCCTTCTCTTTCTTTCCTCTTCTCCCTCCCCCTTTTCTCCTCCCTCCCCCTCTCCTCCTTTCTCCCTTTCTTTCTCTCTGTCTCTCTCTCTCCCTCCCCCTCTCCCTCCCTCTCCTTCTCTCTCCCTCTCTCCTCCTTTCCCTCTCTTCTCTCTGCCTCTCTCTCTCCCTCCCCCTCTCTCTCCCCCCTCCCTCCCCCCCCTCTCTGTGTGTGTAATCTCATTTGCCCTTTATAAAGCCCTTCTGGAGACTGAACTCCAACCTTTGAAGAACTAGAGTGGTTAAGACACAAGGCTAGAAAGCAGTTGGTCCCATGAGTTCAAATCCCACCTTAGCCATGACATTCAGCTGGATGATTTTGGGCCAGTCCCACCCACCCACCCCCTCTCTCTCTCAGCCTAACCCACCTCACAGAGTTGTTGTCGTGGGGAAAATAAGAGGAGGAAGGTGTGTGTTGGATATGCGCACCACCTTGATTTATTTGTAAAAATAGCAAAGATGGAATGCAAATAAATAAGGTAGAAACTTAAAGATAACACCAGAAACAAGGTTGCAAAGGGTTCCTTGGTGCATTTAGCCACTAGCTTCTTTCATTATTATTTTTTTAATTTCCCAATTTCACTTTTAGCTGTGAAAATTCCTGGTGAGCTCTATCTAAGCGTTAGCCATTATCTTCCAAGCCCAGAGATGATGAAATGCTGCCACCTTCTGAGACACACCAGGAAAGCTCGGCAATAACATACTTTCTAGTCTTTTTCTAAGCAGCAGGAGTGCAGGGGGTCCTTGACTTGCAACAGTTCAGTTTAGTGACCGTTCCAAGTTACAACAGTGCTGAAAAATGTGACTTATGTCTGGATGGAAGGAAGGAAGGAAGGAAGGAAGGAAGGAAGGAAGGAAGGAAGGAAGGAAGGAAAAAGGAGAGGGAGGAAGGGAAGGAAGGAAAGAAAGAGAAAGAAAGAGAAAATAGAGAAAGAGAGAAAGAGGGGGAAAGAAAAAAGGAAGGAAGGAAGGGAGGGAGGAAGAAGGGAAGGAAGAAGAGAAAGAAGGAAGGAAAAAAGGAGGAGGGAAGAAAGGAAGGAAGGAGAAAGGGAAAGGGAAGGAAGGAAGGGGAAAGGGGAGAAAGCAAAGGAGAAAAGCAGGAGGGAGGGACGAAGGAGAAAGGAGAAAGGGAAGGAAAGAAAGAAGGAGAAAAGAGGGAAGGAGGGAGGATGGATGGATGGATGGATGGATGGATGGATGGATGGATGGATGGAAAGAAGGAAGGAAGGAAGGAGGAAGGAAGGAAGGAAGGAAGGAAGGAAGGAAGGAAGGAAGGAAGGAAGGAATTATTGTCCTGTAATAATGTTAAGGATTGATAGCACAATTTTAGTTCTTTCTTCCGATTGATCTGATCAAAGCATCTTATCTGGAAGCATCAGTTTACATGCTCTTCAACTATTTCATTTATCTACCCGTTTCTATCACACCTTTCTTCCCAGGCATTCGAGGGGACATCCATTACAATCTCTCCTTCTTAGCGCTTTCCTTTTATACACCATTTTCCTCCCTTCCGTTTTTTTTTTCTTTCTTGCAGCAACATTTTTGGAGCCTGGATGAGACCATGCAGAAAGTACCTCCAAAACTGATCATCCAGGTCTGGGACAATGATAAATTCTCAGCTGATGATTTCATAGGTGAGATTTTTGAACGGGATGAGGGATCTTGGGAATAAAGTTTTCTACTGCTTCTCAACAAGATTTCCCTCTCGCCATATTCATTTTGTATGAAAGCAACAACAACAACAACAACAACAAAAAGAAAGAAAGAAACCACTTCAAACCATCTTTCCTTTAGTTTGAACTTCCTCCTTCATTTTTTTCGTGATCTTCCACCTGTTACTTCTTGCCGTTCTTCCATGCCTGGCTTCAGGCCATTCAATGTACCTAGCAGGGCTGCTTAGCTCTTTGTGTTACCTTCTGTGAACCATCCGATCTGTTGTGGCCCCCAGCCCCTCCAGCAGCCGAATCAGAGGAGGAGGAGGAGGAGGTGTGGGAGTCGCAGCCAGCATCATGGCAACCTGAGAGCTCCGAGGGGAAAGAGGGAATAGGAATAGGAATAGGAATAGAATTAAGAATGATAGGATAGAATAGAGTGGAGTGGAGTGGAATGGAATGGAATGGAATGGAATGGAATGGAGTGGAGTAGAGTAGAGTAGATAGAGTAGAGTAGTAGAGTAGAGTAGAGTAGAGTAGAGTAGAGTAGATAGAGTAGAGTAGAATAGAATAGAATAGAATAGAATAGAATAGAATAGAAAGATAGAATAGAATAGAAGGATGGAATAGAATAGAATAGAATAGAATAGAATAGAATAGAATAGAATAGAATAGAATAGAATAGAATAGAATAGAATAAAAGATAGATAGAATAATGAAGGATGAATAGAATAGAATAGAATAGAATAGAATAGAATAGAATAGAATAGAAGAATAGAATAGAATAGAATAGAATAGAATAGAATAGAGAATAGAATAGAATAGAATAGAATAGAACAGAACAGAACAGAACAGAACAGAACAGAATTTTTATTGGCCAAGTATGATTGGACACACAAAGAATTTGTCTTCGGTGCATAAGCTCTCAGTATACATAAAAGACAAGATACATTCGTCAAGAATCATAAGGTACAACACTTAATGATAGTCATAGGGTACAAATAAGCAATCAGGAAACAATGAACATCAATATAAATCATAAGGATACAAGCAACAAAATTACAGTCATGCAGTCATAAGTGGAAGGAGGTGGGTGGTGGGAATGATGAGAAGATTAATAGTAGTGCAGACTTAGTAAATAGTTTGACAGTGTTGAGGGAATTATTTGTTTAGCAGAGTGATGGCATTCGGGGAAAAACTGTCCTTGTGTCTAGTTCTTCTGGTGTGCAGTGCTCCATAGCGTCGTTTTGAGGGTAGGAGTTGAAACAGTTTATGTCCAGGATGCGAGGGGTCTGTAAATATTTTCCCAGCCCTCTTTTTGACTCGTGCAGTAGACAGGTCCTCCATGGAAGGCAGGTTGATAGTAATTGTTTTTTTCCTGCAGTTCTAATGATCCTCTGAAGTCTGGGTCTGTCTTGTTGGGTTGCAGAACAGCATCATAGAACAAGGAAGGTTGGAAGGGGCCTCGGAGGGCTTCTAGTCCAACCTCCTGCTCAAGGCAGGAGAGTTTACACTTTTGTTCCTCCCATAGGCAATCTGGAAATGAACTTAACCAGCATCCCACGACCTGCCAAGCGGCCTCGGCATTGCAGCTTGAAAGTCCTGCAGGACGATAGCGGCAAGTCCAGCTCGTCCGCTCCTTTTCGCCGACGGAGACAAAAATGCATTTCCTTGTTCACCCAAAGAAATATGAGAGGCTGGTGGCCTTGCATTGTCTTCGAGAAAGACAAGCCACGAGTGTCCGTAAGTCAGGAAGAGATTGGAGATGGGGTCTTGCTGTAGTAGGGTATCTCTAAAACATCCAATTACAGGTAGTTCTCGACCTACAACAGTTCATTTAGTGACCGTCCGAGGTTACAACAGCCCTGAAAAAAGTAACATGACCTTTTCCCACACTTACGCCCTTAAGGTATCCCCATGGTCGTGTGATCAAAATTCAGAGGTTTGGCAATTGACTCGTACTATGACGGTGAAAGTGTCCCGTCATCTGACAAAGTCAACAGGGAAACTAAATTCATTTTATCAACTAACTTCATGGTTGCAGTGGTTCGGTTGGTACAGGGGTTTACACCGTGGGATAAAACCATGCTGCAATTACTGCAAATGGGCAAAACTCAGCCATCCTTAGGTACATTGTTCACTTTCACTTACAAAAGATGAAGGCATATTAACATTGTAAGGGTCTCCGAGCTGAGGGCATAAAATCAAGGACTATCTGTATGCCATTGGATATTTGATTCTCTAGGGTAAGATTGAAATGTCTCTGGAGTTGCTGACCGATTTGGAGGCCGATGAATTGCCAGCTGGGAGAGGACGAGAAGAGCCCAACGCAAACCCCTTTCTGAAGCCACCAGAGTAAGATCAGAACACGGGAGGGTCCTGTAATATAAAACCTGGTGGAGGGATGATCCTCAGAATCGTGACTCCTCTCACCTTGAGACAATACGGAAGGAAGCTGTAAGCCTTACATCACCATTCATAGGGATTGGCAGATTTTTGAGGGAGGAAAGTGTTCCAAAGGTGCTTTTCCAGAAGGCAACTGGACTTTCTCCATCTGTGTTTTTTTTTTTCCCTTTGAAAACATTTTGCTTCTCATCCAAGAAGCTTCTTTAGTTCTCTTTCTTGGGAGAAGTTGGCCCTGATTTCTTGGTCGTTGGGAGAACCTGAAGAAGCTTCTTGGATGAGAAGCAAAACATTTTCAAGGGGGTCCAGTTTGCAATAGCACTTAGACTTATATACCGCTTTACAATGCTTTACAGCCCTGTCTAAGCGGTTTACAGAGTCAGCCTCTGGCCTCCAACGATCTGGGTCCTCGTTTTACCTACCTCGGAAGGAAGGAAGGCTGAGTCAACCTGGAGGCAGTCGGGATTGAACTGCTGGCAGTAGGCACAGTCAGCCTGCAATACAGCACTCTAACCATTGCACCAACTCAGCTTCCTTCCTTCCTTCCTTCCTTCCTTCCTTCCTTCCTTCCTTCCTTCCTTCCTTCCTTCTTTCCTTCCTTCTTTCCCAATAGCACTTAGATGTATATACCGCTTCACAATGCTTTACAGCTCTCTCTAAGCGGTTTACAGAGTCAGCCTCTTGCCCCCAACAATCTGGATCCTCGTTTTACCCTCGGAAGGATGGAAGGCTGAGTCAACTTTGAGCCAGTCAGGATCGAACTCCTGGCAGTGGGCAGAGTTTGCCTGCAATGCTGCATTAGAACCACTGAGAGGGAGGGAGGGAGGGAGGGAGGGAGGGAGGGAGGGAAGGAAGGAAAGGAAGGAAGGAAGGAAGGAAGGAAGGAAGGAAGGAAGGAAAATAGCAATAGCACTTAGACGTATATACCGCTTCACAGTGCTTTCCAGCCCTCTCTAAGCAGTTTACAAAGTCAGTCTATTGCCCCCAACAATCTGGGTCCTCCTTCCATCAGAAGGATGGAAGGAGGATCGAACGCCTGGCTGTGGGCAGAGTTAGCCTGCAGTACTGCACTCTAACCACTGCACCACTGTTAACCTTTGGGAAAAGCACCTTTGGGACAAGCATGACCTGGATGATTGAGAAGCTCAACAGACAGGCAGGAGGGTGCAAATTAAACCATCTTTATCCCAATTAGTTACCCTGACCAGGTCTAGGGGTTAAAAGACTCTGAAAAATGTAACCTTGGAGAAAGCACAATCTTAGACAGAGGTCTTGTAGATGCAGCGGGCAATGTATGTTTCATTGTATTCATACATACAATGTATGTATGCCCCAGTAACACCATTGTGGACTCCTGCAACTCTAGAGTCTGCGATGAATCAGTAATTAATGGCAAGGGATCAAAGAAGCCAGGTCTTCTTCTGGTTAGTCTTCAGCTGATGGGTGAGCAGAAGCAAACGAAGGATGAATGGAGCTAAGATGAATGCAGCTGCTATCTCACCACCTCTTCTCTCTTCCTTCTTCTCCCCCCAATTAGGAGGCCGGAGACCTCTTTCCTATGGTTCACAGCCCCCTTAAAGAGCATCCATTTTATTATATGGCAGAAGAGTAAATGGAAGATCCTAATTTTTGATTGGCATCCGCTGGTAATCTGGCTGCTCGTAGATTTCATCTACGCAGCTCCAGTAAGTTTTTTCTGAGAAAAGAATGCGAAAATGTAACCTTGAAGGGGAATCATGTACTATCAGTCTGTCAGTCCAGTCATATGGGGAGAGAGAGGGAGGGGAGGGGAGGGAGAAGAGAGAGAGAGAGAGATGATAGAGTTCTGTTTTCACCGGTTTCCTCCATCTTCTAACTTTCTTTACTAGGGTTATCTGGCCATGAAGTTGGTCAATCCAATGAAATTTCACGGTCCATCTTGGTCCAAGCAGTCTCCGAAGAATAATATTGACACAAGCTTTCAAATAACATGGACAACCTCAGAAATAAAACAGGCAATTTCAAAGGTGTCATTGCCATCAGCAACTCCCAAGAAAGGACCGCCAGGAGCTCCCAAGAAAGGACGACTAGGAGCTCCCAAAAAAGGACGACCAGGAGCTCCCAAAAAAGGACGACCAGGAGCTCCTAAGAAAGGACGACCAGGAGCTCCCAAGAAAGGACCACCAGGAGCTCCCAAGAAAAGGCCACCAGGAGCTCCCATGAAAAATCCTCCAGCAGTTCCCAAAAAAGTGCCCAACAACAGTTCTCAAGAAAAACGTCATCAGCAGCTCCAAGTAAAGTGCCAACAGCCATGCTGAAAGAAAGTATCAACAACAACTCTGAAGAAAGTGCCAACAACAACATTGAAGAAAGCAAAGCCAACGACTCTGAAGAAAGTCAAGCCAACAACTCTGAAGAAAGTGTCACCTCCCACCTCAAAGAAGCCATCTCCTTCTAAGAAAACCCCAAAAGCAACTGTCCCAAAGCCACCACAACCAACTACCAAGAAATTATGGGCCAACTTCTCCCAAGAAAAAACCAGCTCCCCCCTCAAAATTTCCAACTCCTAAAAATAGATTGATAACACCGAAAACACCCCCAAAATAATAGTTACTCTTCAAAAAAATATTCGTGCAGGATACCACCACCTGCTAAGACCCTGGTCTGTTATAGTTAAGTACAACCTCTTGCTACCCAATAGAAATCCTGCCATGTTCTTCACAGTCTAGTTGAAATGTCTTGCACCGAAGGGCCATTCTAGCTTCATCTTCCCCGTTGCCCTCAAAGGGTCTTCAGGAGTAGAAACAACTCAGTCTTCTATGAATTTGGTACCATCTTTCCAACTTTTTCAGTTTCGTGATGATGCTCCTCAGAGCTCAAAGCCAACTCCTGAAATACTTGTAGGGGGAGGAAGAGTGAAGACAGGTATGGAATCAGGTAGGACTTCAGAAGAAAGTAGCTTTCTGAACGCTGTCCCAATATTTCCAAAGAGGTGAAGAAGGAAGGCCCCTCCTTACAGTGAAATGTAGGCCAGGAGAAGTCAAAGCCATGTTAGTTATAGACCCAGAGCCATAAATAGTTGCAATCCAGTTACACGTGTTTTCAGCCATCCCTTGAGGCAAGTCAGTACTATATAAATAAATATGCCATTGATGGTTCTTTGATGCTTTGGGTGAGTTCGCCTTTTTTTAAAAAAAAATATATTAATAAGAATTTTTTCATGGAGTAAAACACAAATCAAAAGAGAAAAGGAAAAGGAAAGCAAGACAAGGCAAGAAGTGGAAAAAATTAAAAAATAAATATATTTGAGAAATATAATGATGTCTGAACATTCTTTTCAACAGTTTACAATCTTATGAGCCACCGTCCTTAGCTGGAATAGTCAATCTAAGAGTGAGATGGGTGGAACATAAATATGATAAAGGATAAAAATAAAAATAAGATCACAAGAATCAGTTAGCATCCAGCTGTCCAGCAGCTCCCAACAAGCGAAGACAATGGGGAAAAACAGCATGGAAAGTTACAATTCACAGTTATGTAATTTTTACATATTGGGACTGCTGCTATAGATTATTGAGTCACCAACAGATAATATTTACTATCGATTTCACTGTCGTCCTCTTTTCACCCACTGAGTCTGCAATATTTTATTGTGCCACCAGGTTGCAGTATTTCACAAAAATTCCATGTAAACCAGGTAAATGAACTAATATTATTTCAAGACAGCTGATTTCAACAAAGGAAGAGAGATTCCATGGATGAAAATCCAACAGGAAAAAAACCATTCAAGACACTTTGGAAACTATAAATAAAAGAGATAATAAAAGCCCAAACGAAAACAATACCACAGAGAAAGAAAATCAAGAGACTGCAGATGAAACCAGAATGTTGGGCAAAGAATAACAGAATAACAGAGTGGGAAGGGACCTTGGAGGTCTTATAGTCTGACCCCCTGCTCAGGCAGGAAAACCCTGCAACACTTCAGACAAATGGTTGTCCAACATCTTCTTAAAAAAAAACTCCAGTTGGAGGGAGGGAGGGATGAGGGAGGAAGGAGGAAGGAAGGAAAAGAAAATTATTAATTATTATTATTATTAAATTATTATTAAACAGAAAACAGAGAAAGAACAAAGAAAGAAAGGTAGGAAGAAGGGAAGGAAGGAAAAGGAAAGGAAAAAGGAGGAGAGGAAAGAGAAAGGAAGGAAGGAGAAAGGGAAAGGAAGGAAAGAAGGGAAAGAAGGAAAGAAAGGGAGGAAGGAAGGAAGGAAGGAAGAAGAAAGGGGAGAAAGCAAAAGGAGAAGGAAGAAAAAGCAGGAGAAAAGCAGGAGGGAGGGAGGAGAAAGGAGAAAAGGAAGGAAGAAACAAAAAAGGGAGGGAAGGAGAAAGGAAAGAAAGGAAAGAAGAAAAGAGGGAGGGAGGGAGGAAGGAAGGAAGGGAGGATAGCAGAATAAACAAAGTTCGAAGGGACCTTGAAGGACTTCTAGTCCAACCCCCTGCTCAAGCAGGAATCCCTATACTATTTCAAACAAATAGTTGTCCAATCCCTTCTTGAAAACCTCCAGTGGATAAGAGCATCCACAACTTCTGGTGGCAAGTTGTTCCACTGATTCATTGTTCTCACTGTCGGGAAATTTCTAGGTTGCTTCTCTCCTGGATTAGTTTCCATCCATCATTGCTTCTTGTCCTGCCCTCAAGTGCTTTGGAGAATAGCTTGACTCCCTCTTCTTTGGGGCAGCCCCTGAGATATTGGAAGACTGCTATCATGTCTCCCCTGGTCCTTATTTTCATTAAATAGACATACCCAGTTCCTGCAACTGTTCTTCGTATGTTTTAGCCTCCAGTCCCCTAATCCTCTTGGCTGCTTTTCTCTGCACTCTTTCTAGAGTCTCCACATCTTTTTTACATCGTGGCGACCAAAACCGAATGCAGGATTCAGCTTTGGGGAGAGGAAGAGAAAAAGAAAAACAAAGCAGATTTAATTGCAAGAAGTGATTCAGAGCAATGCGATTGGAAAAAGCCCTGCAAGCAAGAACCTTTGCGTGTCCAAGAAATCTTGGAAGGAATGGAATGCACCACGCAGGGCTCCAAAGCTATTTGGCCATCTCCCAGGTTCTCAAATGCTAACTGTCCACAAACGAAGCCCAGCTCCGAATGCCACAGGCCCAGCCTCTCAAAAGAGGGGGGTGGGTCGGGCACCTGCCTCGCTTCATCTGCGTCATGGACAGCACATGGCCCAAAGCTGCGAAAGTCACATTTCTGTTTGCAACGCCAGCCTGTGGGATTGTCCTGGAAGACAGCGGTCAGAAGAGGTCAAAAGATGCAGTCATCGTTCCCGCCTGTCCTTAGTGACTCCTGCTTTGTTTCTGCACATTTGTCTTCTAAAACAAGAAGGGCAAGATCAGTGGTGAAATCCACATTTTTTTATGGGTGAGGACAGGACAGGGTATGTCTTTTTTTCTTTTTTTTTTAAATTTGATTTATATGCCGCCCTTCTCCGGAGACTCAGGGCGGCTTACAATGTGCTCAGCAATAGCCTTCATCCTTTTGTATATTTATACAAAGTCAGTTTATTGCCCCCACAAACTGGGTCCTCATTTCACCTACCTTAGAAAGGATGGAAGGCTGAGTCAACCTTGAGCCTTGGCGAGATTCGAACCCTGCAGTAATTGCAGGCAGCTGGTCTTAAGCAGCTTAATAACAGGGTGCCTTAAACCCTTGTACTACCAAGGCTCTTTTTTTTTTTTTTTGTCTTGTTTGATGAAAAGAAGGACCAGGGGAGACATGATAACAGTGTTCCGATATCTCAGGGGCTGCCACGAAGAAGAAGGAGTCAAACTATTCTCCAAAGCACCTGAGGGCAGGACAAGAAGCAACGGGTGGAAACTACCGTATTTTTCAGAGTATAAGACGCACCTTTCCCCCCCCCTAAAATGGGGTGAAAATTTAGGTGCTCCTTATATACCAAATGTAGCCCCGCCCACCCACTGGCCCCCACCCTTTGGCCTCTGCCTCCCAGCAGTTTACCTCCTTACAGCAAGCAGCAACAGCCCGTTTCAGCTTCAGCACAGCCTAATTAGCACAAGTTGATTGGATCGGCCTCCCGACTCTCAGCTGTTTTGCTCTCCGCTGTTTTGCGCAGGGCTCTGCTGCTTGCTGCAAAGAGGTAAATTGCTGGAGCGTATATTTTTTTTTCTTGTGCTAATCAAGCTATGCTGAAAACGAAAGTGAAAGTGAAACAGCAGGCTGTTTGCTGCAAGGAGGCAAAATTGCTGGGAGGCAGAGGCAGATTTCTTTTTCTTGTTTTCCTCACCAAAAAAAAGGAGTATAAGACGCACCGTCTTATACTCCGAAAAAATACGGTTACCAAGGAGAGAAACAACTTAGAACTAAGGAGAAATTTCCTGGCAGTTAGAATAATTAACCAGTGGAACAACTTGCCTCCAGAAGTTGTGAATGCTCCAACACTGGAAGTTTTTAAGAAGATGGTTGGATAACCATTTGTCTGAAGTGGTGTAGGGTTTCCTGCCTAAGCAGGGGGTTGGACTAGAAGACCTCCAAGGTCCCTTCCAACTCTGTTATTCTATTCTATTCTATTCTATTCTATTCTATTCTATTCTATTCTATTCTATTCTATCCTATCCTG